ATGGGAGGATGGGGAGTGACGGGAGTAGCTGAGGCCAGGGGATCCGGGAGCAGCCTGGAGCAGCCTGGAGCGGAGACCTGGGTAAGGCGAGGGAGAAAATGGTGCCCTCTGTGAGCCAGAGTCCCCCAGAGGGAAGGACAGAAGGTTTGGCATAGAGGCCAGAGATGGAGCTGTTGCCAAAGGGACCTTGTGGGCTGAAGTCTGTGGTTGTCCTCCGAGTAGGACGGGAGCCTTCAGGAGCACGTCTCAGCAGGGGCAAGGAATAACTGGCTCAGATCTTAGCAGGGTCACCTGGGCTACTGAGTGCTCCGGCCAGCACAGCCAGTAAGGTGGACACGGAGAGTGTCTGGGGATGAAGCACCGACAGGAGATCAGTGATGGCAGAAGTCTCTGCGAAGTCTCTATTGCTCCTTCACCTCGCCTTATGTACTCTTCCCCTCACATCCTCATTTAGCAGGATATTGGATACAGGTAAGTCCAATTAGTCTAGGTGTTTTTAGCCACAAGCCCAGTTCCTGTTCCTGTCCAGGCTAACGAGCACTATTCAATTGCTTAGCGCACAACAACTGAGGAGGGAGAAAGTGGTTATGGGGAGGCCTGTTTGCATCCTGTCAATGGTTCATTTGCGTGACGGTTGGCCAGGTTTAATGCCCATTTGGCCAAACACCAGTCTAGACATTCTTGGCTGTGGTTAACATTTGCTACTCATGGACTTTGAGTAAAGCAAATTTTCTTCAGCAACACATGGGTGGGTTTTGTCTAACCAGCTGACTTTCAAGCACAGAATCAAACATGTGCCAAAGAAACAGTTTTGCCTGGAGAGAAACCTAGCAGCATTTCCCACCTGGCCTTTAGCTTTCAGACTTAAGACTGGGTCCCAACTCAGGGTCCTCAAGATGGAGAGTTCCCATCCAGAGACTAAAAGGGCTTGAGGGAATTCCCGCATTCAAATAATCACACCTTCTCCTTTTTCCTATCATTATCACCACCCCTCTTATTTAACAATTACAATATCATCAACACCCCCCCCCACCTCCCCCCCCCCCCCCCCCCCCCTCACCCCACCCCCTACCACCCCCCCCCCCCACCCCATCCCCATCACCCCCCCCCACCCCACACCCCATCATCTTCACCCCCCCACCCCTCTCCCCCCCCACCCCTAAATCCCCCCCCCAAAAACAACACATCACCTCCACCCCCCATCCCTCACCCTTCATCTCACCCCCCCCCCCCTCTCTCCCCCCCCCCCCCCCCCCCCCTACCCCCCCCCCCCCCCATCCCTCCACCCCCCCCCCCCCCATCCCCCCACCCCCCTCCCCCATCCCCACCCCCCCCCCCCCCCCCCCTACTCCCACCCCCCCCCCCCCCCCCCCCCCCCCCCCCCCCACCCCCCCCCCCCACCCCACCCTACCCCCCCCCCCCCCCCCCCCTCCTCCCCCCCCCCCACCCCCCCCCTACCCTACCCCCCCCCCCCCCCCCCCCCCCCCCCCCCCACCCCCCCCTCCCCCCCACCCCCTCCCCCCCCCCCCCCCTCACCCCCCCCCCCCCCCCCCCCCCCCCCCCCCCATCCCCCCCCTCCCCCACCCCCCCCCATCCCCCCCCCCCCCCCCTCCCACCCCCTCCCCCCCCCAATCCCGCCCCAACCCCCACCCCCCACCCCCTCCCCCCCCCCCACTCCCCCCCACCCCCCCCCCCCCCCCCCATCATCCACCCACCCTCCCCCCCCCCGCCTCAAGTCCAGGATGCTCCACCTTCAATTCAACTCCAGGCTAATGACCAGGGAAACCAGCAGAAGTTGGCCCAAGTGCTTGGAAACCTGCACCCATGCAAGAGACCTGGAAGAAGCTCCTGGCTCCTGGATTTGGCCTAGCCCAGCCCCAGTCACATTGCAACCACTTGGGAAGTAAACCAGTGGGTCAAAGATTTCACTCTCTCCTCTCTGTGTACCTCTGCCTTTCAAATAAAAGTAAAATTAGACCTTAGAACAATAATGATGATAATCTTACAAAGAAGGAGGAAGTACCCTAATAATGCCACACTGGCATGTGGGATGGCCAGGGTGGCAGCGAGCACTTATGTCTGAGGACAGGCTGGCACTGATGGATGGCAGGTCATTCATGAAGCAATTAGAACAAGATGAATTGAGAAACGAGTCTGAGTCACGTTGGACACATAGGGAAGTCATTCTCCATTCCCAGGGGAGGACTGATAGGTGATGGGCCCTGCCTGACGGAGTTGGAGGTCAGATAGGAAGGTCCCGGCCGGTGACCCTTGGATGTGTGGGCCAAGGGCAAGGAGCCTGCTATAGTGGGAGGAGCATACCCTTGGGCACCAGGAGGCCTTGTGGCGGTCTGCAGTGCTACAGACTAACCACCAGCTTAGCACTGCACTGGCCAAGGCTGGGCAATGGAGTCGACCCCACTCTGCAGGGAATGGACAGCCCTGGACTCACTCAGCTGGCACAGGTTGGAGGTCACTACCATGTCAGCTGTGACAGAGAGGAAGAGGCTTGGCTGGGGAGTTCCAGAGAGAAGACCCAAGGGAAGAAAGGAGGACACGGCATGTCCCTCATGGGCTGGATGCCTGCTGGGGACATGGGTCGCTCTTGAGGATGGGAATCACAACAGCCACTGTGAGCAGCTTCACCATGTCCTCTGCTTCAAGGATGAGGATGCTGAGGGTCACTGCCCCTGAGCCAGGCAGCCTGGCCACACAGCCCTCAGTCAAGCAGCCTGGGTCACCTGGCCCTTAAACCACAGAGCAGCAAGCATTCACATCTGGGTGAACCTACCTCACCTCGCCTCCACAGCCCCGTTCCCACTATCAAACGACAGGCCCAGCAGGTACAAGAATTGCAGGTCAAAAACCTGCTCATCCATTCAGTCCCACAGTGACAACAAACAGGCATCTCTTGGGGCCTTGAGTCACATTAATCCACCAAATGGGAAAGCTCGCTGCACCTCTCCTAGGGAACCCAATGGAATTGTTCTCATAAAACATCATGTGAAAGGGCTAGCATTGTGGCTTAGTGGGTTAAGCCTGCAGGCATCTCATATGAGAGCCAGTTAAAATTCCAGCTGCTCCAGTTCCAATCCAACTCCCTACTAATGCACCTGGGAAAGCAGCAGAAGATAGCCCAAATACTTAGGCCCCTGCACCCACATGGCTGACACAGATGGAGTTCCAGGTTCCCAGCTTTGGCATGGCCCAGCCCTGAAAGTTGCAGCCATTTGGAGAATGAACCAACATATCCTCTCTCTTTTTCTTTCTAACCCTGCAATTCAAATAAATAAAATAAATCTTTAAGAAAAACAACCGAGCCTGTGAAGACTTGAGAGCTGTCGTCTGAGGATCATGTTCATCTTGGAGGCGAGAAAGCAAAGCAGAAGCAGGTGAATTTCTTCATCCTCTGAGCAGTAAAGACTGAAGTCTGCGTTCCAAACAAGGCATAGCAGAGTCCAAAGGCCACTCACACCCTCTGTGCATCTCAGTCCAAGATAAGCAAGAGGAAGATGAGCCGTTCAACAGGTGGAATCATCTGCAATAAACCCAGGTAGGATTGGGCATGGCAGGGGAGGAGTAGGGGGGGGCACCAGTCACAGTGACAACTTCAGCGCTAAGATGGACTGTGAGAATGTCCATTCCACACTATGGATGGGATGTCCATCATATGCCAGCCTGTGCCTGGCAGAGCTGAGCCCTGGAGCCAGCACTGCTTAGGGCTGCCTGAGCTAGCAGTAGTGACATCATCCTAAGACACAGCATCCTTTTCTCTGGCCCAAACTTCAGCCAGAGGTGATGGGTAGTGCACGAGCAAGAAGGCAACTGTGAGGTTGTGGGGCATGCTGCAGATATGCGGGAGCTCCATGGGTTGCCCCCCCTTCCCACAGCAGCCTGATGCTGGGAGCTCTCTTCTGCCCCTTGGAGGGAAGGGGGAACAAAGGTTTGAAGCTCACATGATATCTGCAGGATCACTCAGCAGCTACAGAGCCAGGATTAGCACCCAAGCCAATCTTGTCTTAGGCCTGAAGCTTGTTCCTGCAGTCCAAGTTAAATTGTTGGCTTCTGAAAGGAACAGACAAGTCAGAGAGGTCATTGCTACCCCTGAGGCACCTGTCGTGGGCAGGAGATGGCAGATAGAGGCCAGTGGGAGGAGCAGGCAGCTGCCCAGAAGAATGGCCAGCATTTGTATCACAGTTGCCACTTAGATGCTAGCTTTCCATATGCACACAGGTTTGGGTCCCAGATACTCCACTTCCAATCCAGCTTCCTACTAATGCACCTGGGAAAGCAGCAGAATATGGGGGAAGTGCTTGGGCCTGTACCATCCATGTGGGAGATCTGGATGGAATTCTAGACACCTGGTTTTGACCTGATCCAGCCTTGGTTATTGCGGCTCTTTGGGGAGTGAACCAGCAGAAGCAAGATCTCCCCCTCTCTGTGTCAACCCTGCCTTTCAAATAAAAACGTATTTTAAAAGGAAAAGACTGGTCCTTAAACAGACCCAAGGAGAGGGCAGTTGGTGTAGTGAGGGCTGGAGAGGGCTGACATCAGGCCTGCGTATACCCACCCTGCCCTGGAGCTAGCCGGTGTACCAGCGTGCTTCACCAAGACAAAGAGCCAGGGTTGACTTGGGCCCAGACCCCCAGCTGGCCTTCCTGCTTTGCCACCAACTAAGTCTGTGACCAGGGGCGGGGCACTTCCTCTTGAACTTCACCTGCCCTGTACCCTGAGGGAAGCAGATGGAAAGAGATGTGGAGCTGGGGCCTGGCACAGGGCTCTGCATGCACCATGCCCCACATGCTCCGGGCTCCTCATCACCCCAACCTCCCTCCTGGGAACGAGCTCTGGGTTTGTCAGACACACAGCCTGCTGTCAACCCCACCCAGCCAGCCAGTTAATGAGTGACCAGGGCCCTCAGGCCTGGCCTATAAGGAGTCGCTCACCAGGGAAGCAGGTGGGAGCGAGGTGGACAGCAGTGGCAACACAGAGGCCACGAGATGGGCAGCGGGAGCATGGGGCTTCTCTCTGGGGTGGCTCTGCTGCTGCTGCTGCTGCCACTGAACACACAGTCTGTCTACATCCACGTGAGTCCCCCCGCCTACCTGCCCTTTGCCCCAAGTCCCAGGGCTCTGCCCCACACTCGGTCAAGGCCTCAGGGACCAAGACAGCTGGTGGGTGGGGCAGCTGGAAGTGAATGGCAGCGGTGGTGGTGAAAATAAAGACATGCTGCTGTGTCTTCCACAAGGCTCTCCTCCAAGGTCGGGGTCAGAGAGGAAGATAAGCAGGGGTGGCCAGGCCCAGGGCATGACAGGTGCCAATGCCCCAGGAGAGGAGGGGAATTGTCCCTGTTTTTATCCATGGTAGCAAGGTCTGTTTGCAAGATGGTAGGATGCTATGGGCCTGTGGTCCCCAGAGTGTCCCCCTGACTCTGGGCAGGGTCTCCAGAATTCCCTTGCAGCCCTGGCCATGCAGTCTGGCCAGCTGTAGTCACCATCACTCAGTCAGGTTGGTTCATGGCACAGCATCTGGTAAGTGGGTGAGTGCATCGTGGTGTCTGACCCCAATAACGGGTATCAGATGAGGGGACCAAGGCTCCTAGAAACAAGGGACAGCAACCAGGCAGGGGCAGAGCTGCGATGTGACCAGAGTTCACCTGTCTCTAACACGCATGCCTCAAGCAAATGGTAGCCTTGTGATAGCCATGGCCCCTGTGCCCAACAGTCTGTGGCTTGGCACGGTGTGATGGACATGGAGTGGCAGGTGATCAGGGAGCCCTGTTCATGGGGGTCTGGACTTCCCAGGAGCACAGGAAGAATCTTGAGGACTGTCAGAGCCACAGAAGCCCCAGAGCCTGTGGCAGCACCTACCCAGCCCAGGGTTTGCTGAGTCCCACTCCCCTCATCCCCACCCTGCCTCTAGTACAAGGGCTTCAAGGTGCAGCTGGAATCCGTGAAGAAGCTGATTAACCTGGAAGATGACCAGGTGACCAATGACAGGAACTTCCCGCCCCCCGTGTGCCGCCACCCAGCGCTGCCCCTCGATCTTCAGCCTGTCTGTACCTCACAGGAAGCGGTCAGCATCTTCAGCAGCTTAAGTAAGCAGCTCCTCTCTCCCCTCCGGGAGGACTCCCTTGCCTTGGTCACCTCCCCACACACCCAGCTCCTCCACACTCCGTAGCAGCCAGGAGCCAGGATGAGGGGCCTCAGAAAATCCAATTCCTGGCCTCCCAGGACTTGGCCAGGTTGGAGCTCAGCAAGGCAGGCACACCTGTTAATCTCAGGAAGTCTGGAGGGGAAATGCTCCCATCCAACCGAAGGACGGCCTCCTGGGGGAGGTGACAGCTAAACCGAAAGCCTAAATCTGGTTTTTCTTTGCTTTGCTTTGCTTTTTTTTTTGCTTTTTTTTTTTTTTAAGACATAGAGAACAAGAGATGTCCCATCCATTGGTTTACTCCCCAAGTGCCTGCAACTGCCAGGGCTGGGCCAGCGGAAGCTGGGAACCCGGACTCTGGCCAGCAGGGGTGTAGTGAGCTGAGCCATCACCAGTGCCTCCAGCTTTGCACTTCCAGAAAGCTGGAGTCTGGTCCCCAAGCTGAGTGCAGGTGCTCTGAGGTAGAAAACAGGTGTCTGTATTGCTAGGGCTGACAGCCTTCTCCAGTGAAACCCAGTTCTGATGAGTCAGGGACAGGAACATGTGACAGCTGGCATTGGCGTGGTCCTTGTCACCTCAGGCCCTGCACACAGCAGCTGTGTTCGGCAGGAGCTACCCAAACAGCAGGTCAGAAAACAGCCCAGGGAGGGGTAGGACCCAGCCCAGCTCCCTCTCAATGACACGTGACTCCAGGCCACCAGCGGAGCAACTCCCGGTCCTCCCCATCCCCCGGCTCTCTGTGGGAGCAACAGCCCACACAGGTGCAGGCTCAGCTGACCACCTTCTCCCATGCCCAGGGTCCATTGCCACGGACAACTGTGAGCTGTGCGTGAACGTCGCCTGCACCGGCTGCTTCTGACATGGCCTGAGTGCCCCGAACTTACCCTGGACCCCTGGACTGTCCATCCTCTGCCTTGGCAGCACTCAGCCCCGTCCCCTGTCACACTCTCCTGGCCCCTAAGGGCCAGCATTGTCTTCCCAGGGCCCAAGGTGCAGGAAGGCAGCCTTGCTTCTGAATAAAGGTTTTATGCAGCCCACAGTCAGTGCCTTGGTTCCTTTGTCCCCGGTATCTTTGGGAGGGAAGGGAGAGCAGGCTGAGAAGATGAGTCAGGTGGGACATATCCGAGGTCCCCCAGCACCCGAAGAGCTAATTTCCTTAAAAGTCCCCTTTGGTGCAGGGAAGCCACGGTTCTGGATGGGGGTGAGTCTCCAAGACCCACCTGCCTGTCCCCAGGCTGAGCTCCTGGCATCCCCAGCTTCAACAGCAAGGACTTCTGCACTCCTGACCCAGGAGTAGGTGGCACAGGGGAATAATCTCCCAGCACCCCCTCCGCCACTGCCTCTGGCTTCCTGGCTTCCCGGAGGTCCCACTCTGCTGTCCACCCCACCCTCACCTCCCTGTGCATGAGCTGCCCAGCCCCGGCTGTGAGCCTCTCACCCCACTGCCTCCTCACAGCCCCCCAACCCACCCCAGGATGTCGCAACAGCACTGCCCCAGGGTGTGTCCCCATGGAAAGCATACTAAGCCCCACAGTGAACACTTGGCATGTGGAGGCTCACGTGATCGTGGCATGAGGCAGATCGTGCCGTTCCCACCAGCACCGTGTGGCTCAGGAGAGGCAGGTGTAGTGAGGACAGTGCCAGCCGTGAGGGGTGGGGGAGGGTGGTTACACGGGTCAGGTCAGGATCTTGACTGTCCCAGTACCAGCACCGAAAGGCCTGAGAGCCTGGTGGAGCCTTCTCTGCCCTCCCACTCCATACCCCTCCTTGCTTCCACCACCCACCACCCAACCCCAGGCCCTCGGAACCGCTTTTCTACTTTGCGCTTTTGTGAGATTGTTTCAGATTTCACATCTAAGTGAGGTTATAGATTTTTGGTCTTTCTGTGCCCAATGTATCTTATTTGCTATATAATGTCCTCCAGGTCCATCCATCCACGTGGTTACAAAATATATTTATAAGGTTGAACAATATTTTACCATGTTCAAAGCACTTTAAACATTTCAAGGAAAATTGAGCTAAAAGATTTTGATTCAAAAAGGTTTTGAGATATAGGCAGTTTTATCATCATAGATGTTTTCCATGAACTATATGAAGAACCTCCCAAAGGCATGAGCTTAACAGGGTTTTTTTTTTGCACCAAAATAAGCTTATTTGCCATGAAAGTTTACAAGTACTTTCATTTTTACCACATTTCCGTATCCATTTATATCTGTTGATGGACACTTCAGTCGTTTCCATATCTTCCTCCCTTTTAACGAATTAATTTACTTGACAGGCAAAGCTATAGGGCCAGGGAAGGGGTGGAGAGAGATCTTCCACCTGTTGGTTTACTCCTCAGTGGCTGCAACAGCCAGAGCCAGGCGCCTACAACTCCATCTGGGTCCCCCAACATGGCTACAGAGACCCAAGTACTTGGGCCAACTTCACTGCTTTCCCAGGTGCATTAGCAGGGACCAGAAGTGGACCATTAGCTGGACCAGAAGTGGAGCAGCCAGAACTCAAATTGGTGTGGCGTGTGGCCGCTTAGCCTCTGCTCCACAAGGCCAGCCCCTCCACATCTTGTAGGTGTGAGGTGACAGCAGACCTCTGATACACATTTTGCTAATGATTAGTGAGCTACCTGTTGGCCATTCATGGATCTTCTTTTGAGAAGCACTTGTTCAAAGACCTTGGTGTATTTCTAAATTGGACTGCTTGCTTTCTTCCTGCTGCTTTGTTTGGATGCCTCACATACTTCGGGTATTTATCAGAGATGTCCGGATCACAAGTATCTTTTCCCTTTCTGTTGGTTGATTGTCTCTTCACTCTGGTGTGAGTCCCCTGACTGCAAACCCACTGTCTAGCTGTGGTTTTACTGCCCAGTCTTTTGGGGTTGTTCCCAAGAAATCTTGACCAAGATTAAAGTCAAGAAACATCTCGGCATCCAGTTTAAGTTAATTATTATCTAAGGAGTGAGAGAACTGTCTGATGCCTTCTTCTGCTTGTGGCAATCTGGCTGTGTCATAGAGTGTGGATTTATTTCTGGGCTCTCCCTTCTGCCCCATTGGCTTCTACGTCTGTTTTTGTGCTGTGCCATGCTGTTTTGATGTCCATACCTTTGCAGCAGATTTTGATATCAGTAGCATGGTGACTTTAACTTTGTTCTTTTTGTTCAAGATAATTTTGGCAATCCAGCTGATCTTGGCAAATGTTTTGTCATTCTGTTTGAATTTTAGAATTGATTCTATTTTTTATCTCTGTGAAAAGTGTAATTGGAATTTTGATCAGAATTGCATCATATCTGTAAACCACTTTAGGTAATATGAACAGTTTAATACTACGAATTCTTCTAATGCATGGACATAGGCTATCTTTCCTTTTATCTATTTAGGGTTTTGTTTTTTTGTATTGAAAATCACATCCTGCTCAAACTTCTTCCTTTCTAAATCATATATTTTTCATGACTTTCCTTTGTCTGATTGCCAATGGTAAGGAATTCTAGCACTAAATGAATTAAAAGTAGAGAGAGCAGGCATTGTTGTAGCTTTCCTGACCTTAAAGGGAAAAGCTTCAAATTAGTCTTCTTAGTCAAACTGAAGACCCATACATTTTATCTTTTTAAAAACTGAATCTCTGGGCTGATGTTGTGGCATGTGAGTGAAGCAGTGCCCACAGTACCATCATCCCATATGGGCACTGCTTCATGTCCCACTTGCTCCACTTCCCATCCAGCTTCCTTCGAATGCACCTGGGAGTAGCGCGTATGCCCCTGACATCCACGTGAGACGCTCTTGGCTCCTGGCTTCCGCCTGGCCCCCTGCTGGCCATGGCAGCCCTCTGGAAGTCAACCAGTGCAGGGAAGACCTCTTTTTTCTCTCTCTCACTATTGTCTCTCTCTCCCTCTCTCTAACTCTTCCTTTCAAATAAACAAATGCATTTTTTTTAAAAAACGAATTTTTCGTTTCAGTGGTCTTTCCTCTGTTTGTCCAATCTCATTTATTTTTTCCCAGATCTCTATTATTTCCTCCTCTCTAGTAATTTGAGCTAACTTTATTCTTCTTTTTCTACTTCCTTGAAGTGCAGGTTGTTCGAGATTTTTTTTTTTATTACGTGTTTATTGCTGTGACCTTCCTTCTTTGAACTGCTTTTGTTGCCGCCCATAAATTTTGGTACGCTGCTTCCATTTTTTCCCCCTTAAGATACAGTTCAATTTTCCCTTCCAATTTCTTCTTTAAGCCACAGCTATTCAGGGCTTTAAGAGCTTTAAGAACTCAAGTATCTCCCAATGTTATAACATTTAATATTCATTCAGCCCTATTATTTCTTACATATAAAACTCTTACATTGTTATGGGACACCATCATGTCCACGCAGGGTACAGGGCAACTTGTTCACATCATCAATTCACTTTTCCTCTGCTTCCCATTTTGGGGCTGTTTCTCCTGGTTCTCTGTGTGGCATAGGATTCATTCCTGTGAGCAGCACTCACCCCATTCCACGTGCAGCATGAGAACCTATGACTTGTCACTGTCTCTCTTTGATCCGTTACCAAAACGCCCTCTACTCCTGCTCCCCTTAACCTTCCCCACTCTGTCAATCTCTATCCAAAGCTCATGGCAACTTCTTTTTTCACTTCCATATATGAGTCACAATGTGCAGCGTTTCTGAATCTTCCTGGGTTCGGCTTCCTTTACCTAACACAAGAGTCTCCATCCATTTTGCTCCACTGTCAGGATTCCATTCTTTGTGAAGACTGAATGATATTCCATGTGTCTCTGCTAATGGACTGCTGGCTTGATTCCACACCTCGCCTACTGTGGACGGTGCTGCAGGGAACATGGGCCTGCAGGTGTCCCTCTGACAGGCTGACTCTGGCTCCTTCAGATCCACACCAAAGGTGGAGGGGGGGTCATGTAGGGATACTTGATACTTGTCATCCCATAGTAAGGGAAAGGAGAGAGCAGGCTAAGGAAGCCCCACAGGTGAAACAGGCTGAGCCAGGGGCCATTCCCAGAGAGCCTGGCTCATGTCTGAGCACAAACGGATCACACATCACCCCTGCCCTGGGAGGCAGGATACAAGATCAGGTCTCAAAGAAGAACCCACAGCTTGGGGACAGCTCAGCCAGGCTCAGCCCCAGCCCTGGCTGCCACCTACCCAAGCCCTGCCCCTGTGCCAGCCTGTGTGCCCATGCTCTGCTCTTGTGCCTGACTATGTTCCCACACCATCCCATCCCCATGCCTATCCGTATGCCCACATCCTACTCCTGTGCCTGAGTGCATGTCTGCACCATCCCATCCTTATGGCTGCCTGTGTGTCCATGCCATCGCATCCCCATGGTTGCCTAAATGCACACACCCTATCCCCACGGCTGCCTGTGTGCCCATGCCCCACACTCATGCCTTTTTGTGTGCCCACACCATCCCATCCCCATGGCTGCCTGTGTGCCTACACCATCCCACCCCATGTCTGAATGCATGCCCATGCCATCCTTCTGTATATCTCTCTCTGCTGGCTCTTATACTGGTTCTGAAAAGGCATCCATCCCAGTGTACATTCCGAGGACCAAGGGCAAGCATCCCCTCCCCAATCCACGAACCTTGACTTCTGCCCAGGAATCTGTCTGAATCATCCTATGGCCACTGTTCCCACTCCCATGGACCAGGAAGGAGCCTGGCTGCCTGTTCATTCTTCATCCCCTCTGGCTTTGCTCCCTGCCTCATTCCCTACCTCCTGCCTGACCCAGTCTCAGCCTGACCCCAGTTCCTTCTTGGCTTGTTGTGACCACTGATCGAATTCCCCTTGTGGCTGCATCAGCCCTGAATGGGGTCAGGTCAGGGTTCCATCCACTATGTCACCCAGCCTGGGAGGCAGGGACTATCAGTGGTCTGGGTCTACAGAGGTGGAGCTGGGATACAGAGCAGAAGAGTGACTTTCCTCATACCAGGCAGATGGTAGAGGGCCTGGGGCTGGATGCCAGGGCTGGCACTGTGTGGCCCTAGCCCCTGGATCCCCCCTGCCTTGGGTTGTATCCACCTGCATCGAGGCCCTCACCCCATCTGGGTGCAGGGAGACTCCCCAGGCACAGATGCCGGCAGTGCTGAACTGAGCAAGGACCAAGGCAGCACCAAGGACCGAGAGGGGGGCTGTCAGAAGAGGCCATGGAGCAAAGCCCTGGGCACCTGAACCTGAGTTCACCTGGCACTGTGGGAAGAGGCGAAAGCGGTGAGGAGAGTGGGTTCCACAGAGGGGCGGCCTGGAAGTGCCCAGCAAGAGGCAGAGCCCAGGGAGCACCTGGGCACTCTCAGAAGGCGCTACCTGCTGATCCCCAGCTGGGCAAGTATCCATGGTAAGTGGTGGCTGGCTGACCAGCTTCTGGCTGTGGTGACGCCAGGGTGACAAGAAAGAAAAAGAGAGCTGCCATCTTTCCCCCCTTCGGGAGTCCCCCTCCACCCCTGGGGGTGGTGGCAGCCCCAGGGGGCAGGGACAGTGGGGTCCTCTCATTTAGCTCACTGAGCTCACTGCTGTCTGCTCAGCAGAGAGCGTGCTACCTAAAGCCAATGAAGGCCACACGACAACTGAAGGAAGGAAACGGAGGCAAGACAACAGGTACTCTGGAATCTGGTTTATTAGCTCAGAGTTGAACGTGGATCTCAGTCAGCTCTGATGTTACCCACCTCACCCCCATAAGCTGGGCCGGGGAGAATTGAAATCCTGCGGCTGAAAGCGTCACATGGTAGGCCTCTCTGGCCGAGAAGAACTTGCCTGGGGGGTCAGGAAGGAAGGCAGTGGGCAACAGCACCTTAGCATCCGGTACAGGCAGCGTAGGCACAGATCTCACACGTGCCCACATCCTCAGCGATGGCCTCTGGACAGGAAAGATGGGGCCTGGTGAGGACAACTTCTCTTCCTCCAAGCCTCCCAGAGCCACTGTTGGGAACCCCCACTGCCAGCCCCCTGGAATCCCAGGAGCCTGGGCCAACTGCCCAAGCCAGAGCACATGGACTCCTCAAGCTGACCAGTCAGAGCAGAGCCTGTCAGGAGGCGATGCTGCTCAGGTCCCACCCTTGCTGTCTAGGATATTCCTTAAATCTCATCCAACTCACAAGTGTAGAAGAAAAGAGCTTTGTGGACCAGCCAATCAGGGCTGAACCCCGCCTCCGAACCCGCCAATCAGAGCACACCTCTTCCACCAGCCCCATCAGAGAAGAGGCTGCTCACCTAGCCGCTGGAGAATCTGGTCCGCGTTGGGCTCCTTGCAGACAGGTTTGAGTTCTTCTGGAAAGTTCGGATTTCTACAGACCTTGGAAACTGTAGATTCACGAAGCCGGGGTGCGAGCTTCTGGAGCGGGTTCACAAGCCGGGCCTGTGGGACCGGCGGCAGGTCTTTGAGCTTCTTCACGGCCTCCAGAGGAAAGGACAGCTGTCCATCCTGGAAGTCACAGCACAGAGCATGAGGCTAGCCTACTGCCCTGGTCCCCAGCTTGGCCATGACAGCCCTCCGGGGCACAGGGCACAGGAACCGGGCGTCCCTCCCACAGGCTGCTGGGGTTCTGCATCCTCTGGGAGGCCAGGGATGCAGGGTGGCACCCACGTGCTTGTGTTCAAAACGGCCCAGCTGCATCCGGCTATGCTCAGCAGAGCTCCCCACTGCCTGAAAGCATAGCCCGCTGCTCCCGAGGCCCCAGCTCCAGCCTGCAACCCAGATGTTGCCTGTGAAGCAATAAAAGGCTTCCAGGGTCCATGGACAGTGCAGGGTGCTAGCCTGGCCTGTCACTGGCATTGCACCAGCAGGCACACCTCTAAGGTCCTTGTGGTTCCTGGAACCCAGAGAGATACTCTGGTGCAGCAAAGGTGGGAGGAGCAAGGCCTGGATCCCCACCCAGCTCCTCTGCAGGCTATGTGCCTGGGGACTGCTCCCAACAGTCCTCAGCCTCGATTTTCCTCCTCTGTTAAATGGTGCTAATGACTCCAGTCTCGCTGGGGGTCTTGGAGAGGTATAGTGAACCAGGAGCTGGCACCCAGCAGGTACTGCTGGCTTTTCTCTAATGATTCTCTTCCTGAATTCTTCCAAGATGGAAGTGTGGCAGGCCAGAGAGGGGGCTCCCTGAGGAAGGCCAAGCCTCAGACACACCCCCCACTTCCTTGCACTCCCTTGAAGCTGTGTCAGAGAGCCCACGGGGTCTTACCTGCACGGTGACCCCCTCTGCCAGAGCAACCCAGGATCCCAGGAGGCACAGCCCGCAGAGCAGGAAGAAATTCATGGCAGCAGGTGCCTGAAGGAGAATGGCTAGCTAGCCTTGGCTGCCAGAAGGTGGGCCTTTTAAAGAGGGCAAGGTTACTGAGTAACCTGGAGCCTTTGTCAGCATCTCATCTGTTCACCTATCAGGCCCCTGAATCAGATAAGGCTCAAGACAGCCTCTGGAGAAAAGAAATCAGCCCCGAGCCTGGGATGGCCCAGCCCTTCCCTGGGCATCAGGCTGGGCCCCCACACTGGTACAGGGGCTGCAGACATGGCCCTGCCCTTGACAAGCAAGGCTGATAGCCAGATTGACAAAGCAGGGTGATTAGAACCATGGTGAAGGGGCTGCTGGGGGTCAGGGAGGTGGGGTCAGGAGAGGAGACGGAGTTCCTGAAGAATGGGCAGACATTTCCCCAGAGGAGGAACTAGGGTGCGGGTCCCATTTTGTCTGAGGGGGTTACATTCAGAACAGCTCACAGATGAGCTGAGCCTGGAAAAGTCATAAAGACATGAGTTGTTTGGCCTGGGGCAAGGGGATGGGAGGGAGACAGCCGGGATTGAGAGCCGAGACTTCCATGGCTTGGCCACTGTGACTCTGATAGGCTGGGTTCAAATCCCACCTCCTGCCAGTTCACACAGTATTCGAGCGTGTAGCCTGATGTCTGTGCACCAACAGCACTCTGTAACACAGCCTTTGGTTCTTCCTGATTTGAATGGTTCCTGCAGCCCCCTGTGACCCCTGCCCTGCTGAGCAACAGCCTAACCTTTTCTTGTGTTTGCCCCATCCTGCCCATCCTGCAGCCTACGTGTCCTCCCCTGAGCCCCACCATGCTCCCAGCCCATGCCCCTGCAAGGCACAGTGCCCTCAAGGAGTGGCTGTTGTGTACCTGTGCCCCTCAGACTCTGAATCCCACATGCACTGTGCCCCCAGCACCACAAGTGATGCCTGCCAGTGTGCCCCGAGGCCAGCAGAGCTCCCCATAGTGCAGTAAGGGACTTATGTCATGCTCTTCTGTACCCAGCCAGGTGCCAGGCCAGCTCAAGGAGATGGTGGCAGGAATGCTGGGTGAATCTCCCACGTGAGTGCAGGGTCCCAGGACGTGAGACCCTTGCAGGGCACAGTGCCTGATGGGCAGGAAACTCCAACGAGGCCCACCACAGGACGGGGCAGGAAGCACTTGGCCTACCCCCTGGGCTAGTGCTCAGAGCTGGGCAGGACTTCCACAGTGTGTGCATGTACATTGAGCTGTGTGCCTGCCTCCTGAGGTGTGCATTGTGAAGACCATGGCTGAGCTATATGTATGAACAGAGGTGTGCACTGAGGTGTTTTCAAACACATGTATGTGCACTGGGCATGTATATGTGCTGATGTGTGTGTGCACTGAGATGTGTGTACATGATTACGTGTCTGCAGATTGCGGGTACATGTGAGTACTGTGTGTGCGTGCTGTGTATGTCATGTGTTCACAATACACTGCAGTGTGTTTTCCAGCCAAGGTTTCCCAGTTCAGTTCCTTGAGTCACATGCTGGTCCCCAGTAGCTGGGACAGGAATGGGAGGGCAATTGGGGGAGGAGAGGCATACCTGGAAGCAGGCAGGGGATGGCTGGAGTGCGCTGGGAGGTGAGGCTGAGGGCAAGGCTGGGGTTGGATGGGGCTTAGGTGGACTTGAGCTAGAGTGAAAGTGAATGCTGGGATAAGACTAGCACTGGGATCCCTGCCAGTTAGGGGAAGGAATCACATCACGATTCTAATTGGGTTTGGGTCAGGATTACAAGTGCGTCTGAGGTTACAGGCAGAATGTTAGTGTTAAGAATTGGGGATACAGGCCCGGCACAATGGCTCAATCGTCTAATCCACCCCTTGCAAGCCCGGGATCCCACTTCTGTGCTGGTTTGTGTCCTGGCTGCTCCACTTCTCATCCAGCTCCCTGTTTTATGGCCTGAGAAAGCAACAGAGGATGACCCAAAGTCTTAGGACCCTGCACCCACATGGGAGACCAGGAAGAGGCTCCTGGCTTCAGATCAGCTCAGCTCTGGCCACTGAAGCCATTTGGGGAGTCAACAGCATGTGGAAGATCTTTTCTTTCTATCTCTCCTTCTCTCTGTAAATCTGCCTTTCAAATAAAAATAAATAAATCTTAAAAAAAAAAAAGAAAGAAAGAAAAAGGAGGTGGGGAAACACAGGGATGCTGTGGTGGCATAACAGGCTAGTCCTGTGCCTGTGGCACTGGCATCCGTATGGGTTCTGGTTCATGTCCTGGCTGCTCCACTTGCCAAGCAGCTCTGATTATGACCTGGGAAAGCAGTGGAGGATGGCTCACATCCTGGGACCCTGCATTCACGTGGGAGATTCAGACAGAAGCTCCAGTTCCTGGCTTTGGATCAGTTCAGCTCTGGTCATTGTAGCCATTTGGGGAAGTGAACCTGTAGATGAAACATGTCTCTCCTTCTTTCTGTAAAATCTTTCAAATAAAAATAAATCAATCTTGAAAAAAGGGGTTGAGGCTAGTGTTAGGTTGTGGACATTGTAACTGACGTCAGGGTGGCCCTGGGTTAGGTAGAGGTCCTTCTAGGGTTGGGTTGGAATTGAGTTTGCAGCTGAAGCTGGAGGTGTGGTCGGGATGGGTTATGATTGAGGTTGGGTCTGGGATTACATGCAAGGCTAAAGCTGGGTCAGCATCTGGTTCCAACAAGGATGGATCTCAGGCAGGGACTCTGGAGGAGCCCTTCTGATGACTCACTTTGCTTTTCAGTTTTGAATGTGGTCGGGAGGAAGGGGAGAAGGCCTTGGCTCCTGAAGCTTCTTTCTCCCATAGCCCCCTGGCAGGAGTGCTCCTGGAAAAACGCAGGCATGACGGGGATGGGTGTTGCAGGAGTGATGTCTGCACCGTGGGAAAGAGGAAGTGGCTCCTAGGCCTTGCCCTTTGGGTCCTGCCCTGCCCAACCCCTCTCTGACATGTTTCTGGGAAATGGGAACCAACTCTTTCCCCTGTCCTTCTCTCCAGGGTGTGCAGGAGAGAGCAGCCTGCTCAAGAGCTGGCCTCATGGCTTGCTGTCCAGGTATGCTTAGCCTCACTTCCTGCCAAGGCAGCCGCTTCTGCAGACTCCTGTCCCTCTAGTTTCCTGGCCATGCCCCTTCTGCTCCTTACAGGACAGCCCATGTGTCCTGCCTGGGTCTCCAAAGCGAAACCAGACTATCCTTACACGGCACCCAAGGTGTAGCAGTGAAACCCAGTGGAGCTTGCCATTCAACCAAGAGTCCACAGCACTCGCCACGAGTAGCCCAAACCTGCAGAGCTGGAGCCCAAGAGCCCAGGTTTTACTCCTGGACAGCGCTGCAGCAGCAGAATCCAGTTCCACCACTTAAAAACCGGGTAACTATTTTCTGCCTGTTTCTGCATAAGAAAATGGGGACAATAGCAGCTGCATTCTCACTTAAGTCAGAGTGACAAATAGAAAGGAAAGGCAGATGCTGCATCCACTTTCACTCTCAAATGGCTGCATAGCCAGGAGTGGGGAATTCCACCCTGGTCTTCTACACAGGTGGCTGGGGGCCAAATATTGGGACCATCTTATACCACCTTCCCAGGCGCACTAGCACGAACCTGGAATGAATGCAGAGTAGAGGAGCCAGAAGCAGCATTCCTGTGTGGAATGCTGGGATCATAAGCAGCAGCTTCACCTGGCTCTGCAGATTTTTAATTTCTAGAAAAATGCTCTTTCCCAATCTCAGCCCTAGAAAGCTTGGGTTAAGACCATGTCCACTGTTCTGTGCGACAGCAGCTCCATCCCACACTTCTGCTCAACTCTCTGCCTGGCACACTAGCCTGAGAGCCCAGACTGTATCAAGGTCCCAATACTCCCACGCGCCTGGCACTAAGGGGGTGCCACGCAGCGTTTATGGGATCAAGGTCATGGTGTAATAATCCTAACTACAGCGGCTGACGTGTGGCAAGGTTTACTAGTGCTAGGCGCTGGGCCAGGTGCTTTACAGTTCTGGAAAAGCCCAGCCCTTTTGCCTCCCCACCTCCATGCTAGAAGCTGCTGGAGCTCCGCCTGCAGCTGGGCAGCCTCCGGGCCTCTGTGAGACTGGCCTCTAACTGACCTCCGAGACCTGGCTCTGCCTCCCTGCAAGCCCCAAAGTCCAATGGGAGCTCAGCAGGAAGGACTAGAATAGAGCCCAGCTGCCAGCCTGGGGAACTCCAAAACCGATCTACAGCCCTGAGAGTTAGGTTGTGTTTCACAGCCTCCCCATCTTACACGTAAACACATTTCAGAGTGCGTAACAACTTGTGGGTCCTACAGGAACCCAGCATTGTCTGAGCCAGACATTATAATGTATAAAGATGTAACAGTTCTGGGAAAACCAAAGAAGTCACTGTATAACCCATTTTACAAATGAGTCTGTTTAAGCTTAGTGGCTCAGGGAGGGCAAGAAATCATGACTTGCATAGGGCATAAGTAAGGCCATTGCGAACAGATGTACACTGTACAAAGGGACCCAGTCAACAGAGTGTAAGGGGGTGTGAATGGGAGCATAGCTCTACCTAAGCTTAGAGCAGGGTGCAATTTTCCTAGATTCACTGCCAAGTGAACTTGCTGGCTGCTGTGGTCAAACAGCTACAAATTCCAGAACAGAAACCCATTTTCTCAACTATTACTTTGTCCATACCATTCCTCCTGGCTCCAAATTCCCACTTCCTTTCTTCTAGCAAAGGAGAAGAGAGGAATGACCACTGAGTGTGACCCACTGTAGAGAAGCCAACAAGTCCACACAAACAGTGCTCTGTGTCATATAGTGGTGGGATTTGAAGTCTGTTGGCTTGCTGTCCAACTCTTCTAGGCCTGAATACAGGCCTAGGTCCCAGGTGGGCCGGCCCCAGCCTTTGATGCTCAAGGAGGCCAGCTGGGGAGTGGACAGAGGGTGTGTCTGCTTGTTTGCTTAGCACTGAGGTCTTGCCAGGCCCAGGTGCTGGGAGGCCCATTCTCCATCTGCTCTCCATTCCTTATGGCAGCCACCG